ATCAAATCAAATTCAAATCCAGATTTTCAAATCAAATCAAATTCAAATAAGTCTAATATTTGATTTGATTTGATTTTTAGGAACCCTAATACATATAAAACCGAAATGACATCAGCTAAAGTCAGTAGCTTATTGATTCTGACTTGATTCGATAACTTATTGATTTGATTACTAGAAAATATGAAAGTAGCTAAAAACCAACTTTGCTGACAGAAATAAAATTAGTTTTGCAAGATTCAGATGAATTTTAGCAAGGTGTTTTAGATTAGTATACTACAGACTGAATTTTAGAATTTGATCTGGTATTATATATATTATCGTTATAATTAGTGATTATAGCTGATCTATAGTATAGTTTTTAATTTTGGCTTGTACCATGCTGATTGCTCACTCTATGCCATACTTAATATCATCTCGACATGGGATATGTTAGGTTTACTTATTTTTGCAAGTAATACACAAATCACATGCATTAGAAAATATTCATTTGTTGTTATTTCGCTAAGAACATGTGAGTTAGGGTTAGGGTTAAGATTAGTATTTGAACATGATAAAATAAAATTTGGCCAGGATTTTTTTTATTATACAAAAATTTCACCTGATCTTGCGATCTACATATAAAATTTTCTTTTTTTAGATTTAATATATAGATTATATGCATATCAATTACACTAATATGCAAGTGTCATCCACTTTGCATAAAATTCTGCTAATTTTAATATATAGATTATAACCCAAAGTAAATATGTATATATGTATGTGTCTTTTCTTTTTCAGTAGCAATTGTTACTATAGATCTTTTAATAGAGTATGCCGTTTTTTCTACTTTTTAGAGAAATTTCATAAAGGCCAAGAGCAGAGTATAGGAAAAGGTTTTAATTTGTAGGTAGCCTTAAACTTCAATAAGAAATGTGTTAAAAATTCACTTATTGTTCTCTTTAAATCAACTATTTTTAATTTTGTTAGCAGAAGCAGAGCTTCTATTAAAATTTTTTGCACAAGAGCACCACCTTCTTACCAGTTATCTTATACAAAAATGTTTTTAACTTGTATACTGAATATACAGAGAAGCTCAGAGGAAACATAGAAGTCCTTAATCTTTGTAACAACCATTATTTGTAGTCATCTTTTCTATATTCCTTTAACAAGTTTCTGTTTTCATTAGCTGTAAGTTTGATATAAGTAATTATCAGAAAGAGTATTATATATATCATTTGTTTAATATTTTTATTAATTTGTAATTTTTTTGTAAAGAATAGTATTGTTATAATAAAAGTTGAAGAAATCTAATATAAGCTTTATAATTTAGCTCTATCTATAAAGTAAGTTATCTTGAAAAGATAACTTTTCTTAAAGCTTTAATAATAGTTGTAAAGCTAATTTTTATAATTTTAATAATAGTAAGATTATTAAAATTAGCCTGGTGATTGCTGAAATATCTTAGCTTTTCTTTTACAATTATACAGTATGGGACAGTAAAAGACATCCAATTTATATATAAGAGTGCTAATTTTTGATGCTTATATAATTAATTCTGATTGGCTAATTTTTATGTGATTGATTCTGATTGATTAAAATTATATATATGTTTTTGAATTCATATAAACTTTAATTCATTATAACTTTTTTAAAACAAAGAATAAAAAAAAATCCTTTGACAGAAATATAGTTTATCTAATTTGTCAGAAGGTTTTTTTAAATTAGCTTGTTTTAAAAAAGTTATAACACTTTAAAGTTTTTATTAATAAAATTGAATGCGTTTTACTGTCTGGTACTGTATAAATTTTTTTTAAAAATTTAAAAAAATTTTATATGATTGTAAAGAGAAAAGCTAAAATATCTCAGCAACCACCAGGCTAGTTTTAACAATTTTACTACTATTAAGCTAGCTCTACAACTTTTATTAGGGCTTTAAGAAAGATTATCTTAAAAAAAATAATTTATCTTGTGAGTAGAGCTTTATTATAAAGCTTATATTAGATTCTCTCCAACTTTTATTATAACAATACTATTCTTCCTCACCTTAAGATTCAAAAAAAAAAACAATATATTCTTTACAAAAAAATTACAAATTAACTATTTTTTTTAAAAATAAAATGTTAATTTAATTTTAATTTAATATTAATAATTTTGCATTTATACAATATATAATTTTTATTAACAAAAGTTAATCTATTCAATATTAAAATATTAGTTTTAAAGATTAAAAAAATATAATTTATAATAAAATTTTGCAAAAATCTTTGTAATAATCTCAAAAATAACTTAATAAAATTTTAAAAAATATCAATATATATACATATTATAAACAAAATCATTATTTAAAAATTTCTTAAATATAAAATATATCATTAATATTTTTGGTTTATTTTAAAAATTTGTCTAAGCACAAATTAAAAAATAATAATTACTAAAAACGTATTTCCTAATTAATATCGATATAATTTTAAAGTTTAGAAGAAAGTTGAGCCATAATATAATAACGCAACAAAATTCTATCAAAATCAGGTAGAATTTTTAAGATTTAAATAAAAATCACAAATTACAAACAAAATCAATTGCAGTTGATTGATTTATTGTTTATTTGAATGAATTAACGATTTTATGTATTTTATATTATTTGCCTAATTACTTTTTCTTACCCTTTCCTTTATTATCTTTTCCAGCGGTTGATTTCTTCTTTTGATCTTCATCCATTTTCAACAACTCCTCTTCAGCTTTTTTTCTTTCTCTCTCTAGTCTAGCATTCTCTTTCTTTTCAAGTTCGATTTCTTCGGCCTTTTCTCTTTCTTCCCTCTTTTTAAATTCTTTTTCCTCTTTTTCCTTCAATTCTTTAATGTGTTCCTGGATCTTTTTATGTTTTTCGTGCTGCACCATTTGATTAGCGGTATGAAGTATTGTTTGACTCCAGTCTTCTTTAAAAGTGTCTGCCTCAGCAGTAACATCCATTAAATCCTGTTGGAGCTCTTGTTCAGCTTTCAAAAAAGAATTCCAGAGATCTTCACCAACAAAACCTTTTTGTACCAGAGAAACGAGAGCAGGTCTGTCTTCACCCAGCTTTAACATCCGTTCTACGTCAGTCATGGCACGACGTAATAGAGCGGCCTTAAGTTGAAGCTCGGTAGCAGGTGGAGATTTTTGTTGTAAGAGAGAAATATAAGTATCTCTTGTAGTGTGCTCAGGAAACCATGGTACATATTTTGTTGTGGCTTAGTCCAAAGAATAAAAAAATTGAATCCAAAAAAAAGGTATGATTTAGCGAGTCTAATTGAAGTTGAATCATTTGTCACAGATCTAAATATTTTTTTTCTAAGCTACATATAAAACAGTCCAGTAAAATGAACTTTTTCAAACAGAAAAATTTAAGTCTTTGACAAGAAGCTTAAAAATAAAAGACTATACCAGTTTTTCGGCTTCGCCATATAAAAGAAAAAGTGCTCATCACTAATAACATCCCTCCTATGTAGGTAATTGCCAATACCCATGATGACATGGTTGTAATTTATGTTAGAACTATGAGTGCGGAGTTTTTCGCTTTTTTTTTGAATTTTGTTTCTGTATTTACATTGTTGATTCGATACGATTTTTATAGTTAATTGGTCCCTGAAATCTCAGATTAAAAGAGCAATTATCTGCGATTGGTCGATATGTTATTGGATGTTTTTTATTTCATTTCAGCAGTTCCAGAATAGAGAGTTTTCTAAACTCACATGATCTAACAATAGGTGATTGGTTGTAAGAAAGGGTAAAAAAGAAAGTATTAAATGATGCCAAGCTGGCTGCATAGTTTACCTTATAACGCATTTATATTATCGTTATGCGATATCCGATTTGCATTGCATAATTTAGTTATCTATATATGTGTAAAAAGCATTTCTACTGGCCAACAGGTAATCATATGAGCCCTAATTATGCTAAAAAAAATCCTTAGCTTCTGATCTTTAATAATTAATATTGATATATATAGAGTATATATCTTTCTGTTTATAAAAATACAAACACCATGTATTTTCTCAAGAATCGCATCTGAATTAACATGACATAAAATGAATGATAAGTAAGTTTTAATTTATCTTCAGCGTTTGCAATGAAACGTATATATATATATACGCAACAGTAAACCCTAACCATGAAAAAAAAAATTATTACAATAAAGAGCCACAAGCCTTACTCAAGGTCTGTGAACATTGTCTGACTAGGTATTCTCCGGTTAAATAGAGTAGCACAAATTGTGAACCTGTAACTTACCAACATGATACTTCTGAGCCTTTAATATTACTAAAGTACGTACCTGTACATTGCTAAAGCATATCGATATGTTAAAAATCATTTAAAATCCAGGTTGGTCCCAGCGTCACTAATAATCGATAACTCAGTCACATGTTACTATTGAGACGCTGGGATACTTGAATCCAGTATGTAAAGTATGTAGAATGTGTCAACTAATTTGATCACTATTAAAGTATTTGAAATCTCTGTATGTGAAGACCAGAGTTTGGGGACTGGATTTGGTCTTCGAATTTAAATTCGATTTAAATTCGATTTTCTTCGGGTTCGGGTTACAGGTTCTCATAAATTCCGAGACATTAAAAATTTACTCGTTATCGTTATCCGAAATTTTTCGGTTTAGTCCTGTAAATCACTCAATTCTTCGGAACAACATCGTTATCTTCAAACCCTCGGTATGGAGATAGCGTGTAAATCTGAAGAGGTAGAAGATTTGATTTACAGGATGAAACTGAAAAGGTTTCAGGTAACGTGCAAAATTTTAATTTATCCCAGCATTCATGAAAAACAGCTATCAATCCCGAATATATAGTAAACGATATCGAATTTGCAGATCTGAAACATAAAAATATGAAAGATAGAACGATAAGTAGTGTCATGTTTAGGTGGTCAAAAGCTTGTCATCGAGCGTTTGGTGCACACACACAGTGATTCTATTTATTATTAAGTTTGGCGCTGTTCTTTATCTTTTCGAATTTAACAATCAAATGAAATATTTATGTATAAGCTTAAATCAAAAGCTGAAGATTACTAACTAAATAAATTCGGATTCACAAATGATTTCTGTTTCAAACTCTACTTATGACTGTTAAAATTTAGTCTGGTAGTTATCGAAAAGCATTGATAGATCGATACGTACGAGTTATTCGTAGTACAAGAATTTTATATGCGTGCGTACACTAAAATTCATTGATTACGGAGACGTCATTCGTGTGATGTCGACCGCGAAACCAATTTTATCGACCCAATTTTCAATTTTCTTTTTTGGGTGATCTACATAAATTAACCAATCAAACTGGGTGATCTACATAAACTAACCAATCAAATCGTAAAATTTTTACGAAGCAAAAACCTCTCTTGGCGCACTAACTGCTAATAAAAAATGTCGGTAGTGCAATTTTACCTATAACCCTTGCTTAATCTCTAACCTCTAAACAACCCAAGGTCTATCATGAGATCTTCCGTTATGCACGACCAATCAAAATCTCCAATTTTTGTTTACACGGATCAGCCCGACGAAGCAAAAAATGCGAGAAAAAATGTCGAGGGGTCGATTTTACATATAGAAACCTTTTAATATTAACCCATACAAGCTCTAAACCTTAATATGAATTTAAATTCATAATGGACCTGGCTTTAAGCGTCCCCCAAATAAGGAAATTGAAAATTGGGTCGGTAAAATTGACCTACCCCTATGTCTTGCAAATCCGGACCTCCGATCAAAATTTAGATATAATTCGATATTACAGGCGCTTTTTATTTACTTTTTGTATAATTTTATTCAGAAAATTTCTACTTAGAGTCCAAAAGCAGGTTATCATAGTAAATTTTGCGTTAGCTACGGGTTTGTTAGTTTTTTTCTTCCTTATTTTATTGGTTCCGACCTATACGGAAGAGTCCGGATTTGCAGGACATAAGTATACCCAACATTTTGTGAATTAAATGACTAAACCACCAGCGTTAAGATAACTGGCCTGAATTATGGATCAATTTCTATTCCGTTGAACGGCACTAAATGCATAACGATAATCCAAATTAGTTGAAATATTAGAGAGCAATCTTTTTCGAAACTCATGGTTTCACGCTATATTCTTGAAGGTACATCTTTTTAGCTATAGAAAGAACTACTATATAGTGTCTGGATCCGCTATTCCGTTGGATACTGGATTTAATGGTAAATCCTTCCGATATCCGTTAAATTTAATATGAAACGCCATGTTCTGTTCGAATGACTTTATATATATATAACTTTATAACATCAATCAATTTATTGTAATTTACGTTAACTAATTTTGGCAATATATTAATTACACTCTAAATAAATTGTTTCTTTTCTTTTCTCCATAATAGTTCTCCATAATAATTGTACGTGTAATTTTTTTTACTATAAAAATACTCATTTCCAACTTTTTTCATCTTGCCATTTTTTTTTCTCATTAGAGTTTTCTTGGCTGTTCTCATAAATAGGTTACACGCTGGTCGAAATTTATTTTACACATAACCAATCCTACTTTTTTTTTATATAAATGATGCGTTCAATCCTCTACGTTTTTATTATCTCTTTCCTCGTAGCTGTTGTTTCTTCGTTCCCCAATGGCTCTGGTACATGTAACTCAATTCAAGCGACTATCGAAGGTGTACCAAATTCACCCATGGGTAAACTCAATAGTGCGCTTACTTATGCTTTCGATCTTGATTTAAAGAAAAGCAATTACGTTCCTGGACGTAGTGCTGTTCTTACTATTAAAGGTCCTCAACCTTACAAGGGTTTATTGTTATATGCTGTGGACAGTGCTAAAAACCATGTTGGTTCGTGGAGTACTCCAAAGGGTTACAAAATATTGAGTCTAAATTGTACTGGTGATCCGAAAGGAACTATTACACATGATTGTATGTATGCGTAATGTTTTTTTTGTTCGTTAACTTCTTTTTTACTTATAAAACTTTCAAACTTTACAGCTCCCGATCAAAAAAATCCTACTGATACTAAACTCACTTGGACAGCACCAGCTAAAGATGTCGGCCCAATTACTTTTATTGGCACCATTGTGGTTGATCAACAAACGGGCTTCCAAGTTGTAAAATCTCCGATTTTCTCTGTTGCTGGAAGCAAATTTACTGCGCCAGCTACGCCAACAGGTACTGCTACGAATCCTCAACCTCAAGCTTCTGCCTCTGCACCTGACGGAAATCCTGACAATTCTGGATCAACTTCATCCACCAATTCAACTTCATCTACCACTTCTGATGCCTCTTCTTTAATGGATGGTTCTTTGTTGTTGGCAAAATTAGGCTTTGTTGCCACTTTGGTGATCTCATACCTCTAAATTTTTTATGAAACTAATCTCATGTACGGTACCCAAAGTGATATATCTTATAATTTTATATTTAATGTTTTAGTGTTTTAGTGTTTAATGTGTTATTAAATTAGAAAAATAAATATACAAATTAGAAAATTTAATATAATAGTATACCAAATAATTAATTCTAAATAAATTTAAACTTAATTTGTTGATTCAATAAATACTAAGACATTAAATATTAAAAAATTAAAATACTAAAATATACATTAAATTTCTAAAACACTGTATTAAAGGTAACTTTATCTTACACTATGTAGACGTATATACGGTCAGACCTTCCTAAAACACACTCATCTTAAGTGCACACCTTTCGTAAATACACACCCTCACTAAATATACACTTTAGTTTAGTCCCGAGCTTGGGACCTAGTGTTAAGTGTACATCCGCACACAAAATTTTATGATTGGAGTGATGCACGTGATTGATTTGTATATGTCGTGCATCAGATTAAAATTTGCGTCAGATTAAAATTTAAATGCGGAGTTTTTTAGGGTAAGGGTGGGC